ATGCTTTTTTGATTTTATCTATTGACGCATTTTGTGAGACTTCTAATGTCTTGTAGTGGTCAGGTATTGCCTCAACAATTACAAGGAAAATTAGCAAGAAAAGAGTATTAAAATTAAAATGCATCTGTAAATTAGAAAAAAGCTGTCATTAGAAAAAATTATCATTCTACAAGAACGGTATATAAAGTTTGTTGTGGGAGTCCTAAACTGAACAGGCTAATTTTTGTCTTTAAAAAATCTAAAAATTTCATTCAAGTAACCCTATTTATATATTCAAGCTTTAGCAACTATGAAATTACCTAGACATTAAATGGATAATATAATGAAATCCCCGCCCAAAATTGTGTAATATAGTAGACTGTTTTGAAAATAAAATATAAAGTGCATATTAATGAAAGATTACATAAAGGGCAAAAAAGTACATTTTATTATTTAAGTTCTTCCATGTTTCACATAATAATAGACTATGGAGATGAAACACTGGGCGATTTAGGTTATCCAAATTTTCGACATTATATGAATTCTAGTATGAGAATTCAAAGGGGTCTTATAATTTTTTTGATAAAATATCATTAAAAATTTAAAATGAAAGTACTGATCTCTTTGAAACTTTCTCTACCTTAATATTTACATAATTTCAACCATGTATTGTTTCCACAATTCCAGACCTTGGAGATGAACCACCAGGCGATTTAGGTGATCCACGTCATTTAGGCAGTTGTATATATGAGTAACAGCAAAAATAAGGGGGTCTTATATTTACGCTCTTAACGGACTTTATAGCCAAAATTGCACCTATCTAGAATGAATTTAAATGCTGAACTTAATTAAATCCTTGCTCCTAAATATGTAACATAGATTTTTTTTCTTTTAATTTTTTTTCTTTTAAATTTCATTTTTGAATGAATTTAAAGACAGATTACATTATCAAAAAGGTCAAATAAAGTACATATTTTTATTTTTCCTTGCCAATTTTCCCACTACATATGATGTTTTTACAAAATTAAGGACTAAGTTGTGTTATTGAGAAAGCTTAATAATTGTTAATAAATTTTTTAAATAAATAATATTTTATAAAAACAACTTTCTTAAGTTTAACTATGTCTCCAAACCTTTAAAATTTTAGGCTAGACGGTAATTTTTTTAACGTTAAATTTTTTTTAGTACATAAAAAAAGAAAATAGAAAAAAATGTCACACACAAACGAGAGTATTTCTGTCTAAACTTTAAGTAATTATGGCTTCCCCAAAGCCCGAATTTTATAATTCTATCGATATAAATAGGTAAGCGATTTATTGGGATTTCTCTTGCACTATTTATTCTGTCCTAGTTGTATTATGAAACTCAAGAAAACCCCGTTAATTAAGGAAACAAGGGTATAGGGGATTTGGTGGTCTTTGTATATCAGCGCTGCAGGTGAAAATTTTGAGAATTTTATATGGGCAAGAAGCCAGATTTCAACTATTCGTGTAAAAAAGTTATTTTTGAATTTACGGTGTTTATTGCCGAGGATACGACCTTATGCTATCTTTTCTGAATTATTTTCTATCTTTTATGGTTATTTCTTGATTTTTATCATATTTTATTTTTATCAAAATGTTGATTCAAAATTCAACAAAAAGTGTTAAAGTTTGCAAAATGCCTGATACGTTTTGCGGTTTAAAAATTTTTTTATCCGGATCCGAATTCGTAACGTCCGGATTTTTTTGGAAAAAATTTTTTTCGACCCGAATTTTCAAAAAATTTCTTTATATAAATTTCGCGAAAGTTGCTAGAACTAAAAATATTATTATTATGTTAATTTTAGTTAATTTTATTTTACATATTTAACCATGCTCATTAGTAAGGTTTCACCGGAACCGAAATTTTGACCGGAACCGGATCGAATTTGAGTCCCTTTTTCTCTTAAGGAACTTTTTCTTGGTTCCAGCCCGGAACCGGAATCTGGAAAAAATTTTGTAGCAAATTTGAAAAAATTTGTATTTTAAGTAGGGTTGTCGGTATAACTAAATTCTTTGGTAACCGAACCGAACTAACCGAACCGTTTTTGCCTCCGCAATTTACAAATCAAAGCCTACCTCTCATAAAGACTTCCTTATAAAAAATTTAATTCCTGACCATTGTTAAACCTTTAACATTTTTTAATCTCTAGAGGGATGAGAAGAAAGAAGGAGAAGGAATAATATATGTATGTGCGGACAAACATTGCGGAAAAACTACCTTTATTGTTAAATTTAAAAAATCAAATAAAAATAGAAAAAAATTAACTCTGATGAGTGCAATTGTAGTAAGATTATAGTAATTAAGGAATATTTTTTAATTCTAATCAGTCAAATATGGCTCCGGTTAAAGGATTCAGTCTAAGACAAAAATTTTTTTTGGTCCAAAACAAGTCTCTCAACAAAACAAATGTGAGAAAGTCCTAAAACTTAACTTTTGAGCGTATCTCTTCATTAATTTTTTACAAAATGTTTTTTACTAACTCTAATTTTTATACTAAAACTAAAAATAATAAAATAAAATGAATATTTGATAAAAAAATTTTATCTTTGTTTTTGTTTGCTCTTACCCATAATTTTTTGGATTTTTAATTTTTTGTATTTTTTTTTGAATTTTTGTTTTTTAAATTTTTATGTCATTTTCTGGTTTTTTTTGTTTATGTCTAGTTTTTACATTTTTTGGTCCATAACTTTTTTCTTGTTTCTTGTATTTACCAATAGGTAACTCAAATAATCTTCGCTTTAGTCACGATCTGACTCTTCATTATCTCCTCCTTCAACGTTTGACGCTTCGCCTTCTGAAAATTAACCAAAATATTTTAATTTTTTAATTTTATTTCTATTAAAAAATATTTTGGAAAATTTTTAATTATATAAATAACTTTATGCTAATAATTACCCGCCTATACAATAGTCAGGGCTCATATCGATACTTATTTTGAAAATACGAGTTTAAATTATTTACTCTTGAAAATTCAAAAATAAAAGTTAGATTTTCGTTAATTCATATACCTTTTTTGCAACGATTATGATGCTTTGTTAAATTCTGCAAATATTTAGAGGACATTTTTGAACCGCATTTCTTACATGTAACCTGTTTATTCACAGGCTCTGTAAAATGATTCCAGGTTGAAGAAGTTTTTCCTGTGATATCAAATATTGTTTAATTATACTTATAGATTTAAAATGAATTAATTTTAGTCTGTTTTCCGCACACGGATATCTTCGGTAATCGTAACAGTAATGCCGAAATTTAAATTACTCCGTAATAGTATTCCGTTATATTTCTGGAGCCTACTCCGGCATTTTGAGAAAAATATTTTTCATAGATTCGAAAAAATTTTCTCCAGCATTTCAAATTAATATTATAATTCAGAAATTTTTAACCATTTTTATTTTCCCGATGGAATTTTTGAACTAAAAATACGTACCAATCGACTTGACTTTAGGAGGAGCATCGAGGTAGTCTATAATTAGATTTTTGAAAATTTTACATAAAAATTGAAATTTAAAATCTAGTTCCTAATCTATCATTCAAAGACCCATATCTCAGCTCAAAAACAAGATAATGCTTTTTTAACGTCATTAGAATCAGCTTAAAGAGTTTAACCTAAAGATATAAACTTCCCCCATATCAAACACAAGCTTTAAATAAGATGACTTTTGGTCGAAAATTTTTTACGAAATTTTATGAAAAAACAATCAGATTAATTTCTAAAATTTAGAGAATATTTTGGCACCAAAAATTTCCTTAGAGTATTGGGAATAAAATAAAAAATAGAATTAGCAATTATTATTGACATTGAAGAAAGTTATGGCAATAACAAAAAGGGAGGAAAATTTGCCGCGCTCTGTAGAATTATTTGGCATTCTTGCCTTTTTAGCAGCCTATCTTGTCATTTTATACAACCTTTTCAGGTACATACATATTTTTAGGTTTTTAAAATCAAAAATAAGTTTCCAAGTTATTACATATTGGAAAATTTACTTTAGCAAGAAGTTTCAATATGGTCTAGTAAATTCTTCAAATATTTGCTCGACATAAGAAGTTTGCATTTATTACATTTAACATTATCATTATCAATAGATGTAAAATTATCCGTTGCTGTTTTGTTAACTACATATAATATTAAATTTATTTTAACTTTAAAATATTAAATAATTTTATCTGAGAAATGCAAATAATATGTATTACTTTAATATATCTATAAATTAAAGGCGATATATTTGGAGTTACATCTGATTTAAGTAATTTTTTGGTTGCGGTTTATATTTTATTATAAGAATCTGAAAAAGATCAGACACTTATCTAGGAGTTATGTCGAACTGCAAGATGTGCTATAATTTTATAATGCAGTGCACATAAGAAAAAAATGTAGCTATATATTTTAAGTTATTTTTAAAGTTTAAATTTAATTACGTTTCCAACAATTTTTACGATGAGTTTTTAAATTTTGTAAATATGCAGACATTTCCAGACCACACTCATTACAAGCAACTTTATTATTTTCAATTTGAGTAAAATGATTCCATACTTCAGAAGTTTTTACTATAAAATTTTATATTCATTAATTTTCAAATTAAAAAAAATCGAAAACTAAATTTGTTCAAATTATAATAAATTTAAGACATTGCACAGACAAGAGATTATATAATGTTGTGTCTGTTGCCAATGTTTTTAAGATCATACATTATTTTAAATATACTACCTCCTTTGCCCGTTTTACCAGTATTCATAGATTTTTCAAGTTCGTCTGTACTCATGATATGGAAATCCTGAATTTCATGAGGTTCCGGCTTTTCTTTGTATGTTACAGTATATTTAGCTAAATAATTTTTTTAATTAGTTCGATAAAAATTTTAAGCATTAAAAAATCAAAGAATTCGAGCTGATGTAAGGATCGGTCCAGATATCCCATCAAAAATCATATCGTTACATTTAATGGAATACTTCGATCGGCCTTTCAGAAAGGAGACTACATTCGGATCGACAATAAATTTCTAAATCAACATATTTAAAAACTTACGAATGTCTTGAATATCTTGCCCGCCATATCCTTGTTCAACATTTTCTTGTCCGCCAAATCCTTGTGCACCATATCCTTCTGTATCATGTCCCTGTCCATGCGTGCTTGTCGATTCAACTTTTCCTTTTCCTTTTTTACTAGTGCATTCCAACAAAATGAAAGAATTTATAATAATTAAGATACAAGTGACAAAATTAGCTAATTTCATCTAAAAATAAATTATTTGTTATATGGTTATTCTGTTATTTTCGAGATGATTTGGATAATATATTCAACCCATCTAAAAGTCAGAGCAATGGTTCACCAAGACCGAAGGCCGAGTAGTTTGGTGCGCCGAAGGCGCGCTGTAGGTAAGGGCCGAAGGCTTGAGCTTCAACTCATATAAAAGGCAGAGCAAAAAGACACCGAGGCCGAAGGCCGAGAAGGCTCACCGTAGGCGAGAGCCGAAGGCTCGTGCTTCAATCCGTCTAAAAGGCACAGCAAAACCCCCGAGGCAAATTCTGGATTTAATCGAATTCTGGATTTAATTCACGTTAATTAATTTATAATTAATGTCTTTTACACTATTAAGAGGTAAATCTAAAACACTAGCAATTAAAAGTTTATTAAAATAATTAATAAAATAATTAAAAGATTTTTTAAAATTAAAATTTAAAATTAAACTGCCTCTTTGCTTTATTTTTTTCTGTATTTATGCTAAAGATTCTTGAGAAGCTAAATGCCCGCCTCTTCAAAAATGGGAGGGTCTCTCTTATAAAATAGTAAACAACTTCTAAGATTCGAGGATTTGGGTAGAGTGGTAAGCGAGTTGTCTTTTCTTCTCTATTACTCTCTCTTGCAAAACATTGAAAATAAATCTCTCTGAATTAAAGAGGTGTAGAAAAGGATAGTGTAATTGAGAGGGCTTAAGACATGGCGAGCAGGCAGAGGTCTTTTGGCAGAGGTCTATACAGCTGGCAGGGGTCCTTTGAAATGGCGATTTAAAATAGTAAAAATCTCTTTAAGATTCATGGATTTGGGTAGGGCGCTAATCGAATTCTCTTTTTTTTCTCTAGCTTTCTTGTAAGACATTCAAAATATACAAGGATTGGGTAGTTGAGAGGGCATAAGACACCAACTCTGCATGATAGCTGAGTTTCAATATTCATTACCAGTGATGGGCAAGTTCCAAAATTTCTCTGGAACTAGTTTCAGTTTCCAAGGTCTTAGGCCAAAAAATTCACTTATTCAGCGCCGCAGGCGAAAATTTTGAGAATTTTGGAGTTCAAGCAGCCAGATTTCTTTCATACTCAGCGCGCTGCAGGTAATTAACGAGGAAATTTTGTCAAAAATATACCCCCAAGAACTAGTTCCAGAACTAGTTCCAAAGCTAGTTCCAGACATTTACTAGTTCCGTAGTTCCAGTTCCAAGCTAGTTCCAGGCATTTACTAGTTCCGTAGTTCTAGTTCCAAACTAGTTCCAGATAATCGTTAGTTCCGTATTTCTAGTTCTGGAACTGGAACTAGAACTAATTAGTTCCGGAACTGGAACTGGAACTTTGCCCATCACTGGTCATTTCAAAACTGGAATGAAGGAATTCTTTTTTGTCCTCACTAATAGAAAAATATGTATAAATAAAAATTCCATGATGTAAACTTTATACATAATGGAATTAATTTTTTAAAGAAATTCTCCCATGAAAAATAAATTGCTACTTGTTAAGGCAAAAAATCAAAAATTTGCAGAATTTTGGAAATGAAAAAAAAAACAATTAAAGAAATTGGAATTATGAAATTGCTTGACATTCATATGGAAAAAACGGGCAATTATTTCAATGGAAATTAATTTATCTCTCTCACCTAATAAAATTCTTTCTCCATCACTCCTTATTTTCTCTTAAAAAATATTTTTAATAATGCATTAAGCAAAATTTTATTTATGGATTTAATTAATCAATTAATAAAGTAATTTAAAATTTTTAAATTGATCGCTTAAAATATTAAAATAAATTTTAAATAAAATAATACATATAAAAATTTAAAGAATGGAATTCCTACTTGTTATGGCAAAAAATCAAAAAATCAGAGAAAATCCAAGTCGAAATTTCAGATGATATATGGAAGCAACCAAAATCACCATGAGGTGTATCAGTTCCTTCTACTTTATCTGGTGAAACGCAAGCTAATCTCTCTATACGAATTCAAATGCACCTTTCAACATATAAAGTCATTGGTAATCGGCCTGACATAAAATATGATGTATTCCAATGGTGGAAGAAAAATGGGCCACAATTCCCTGATTTAGAAAATGTTGCGCGTAAATTGCATTTTATTCCCGCAACTTCAGTTTGCTCTCTGAGATTATTTTTATGATTTTTGGCAATAACTTCGCAATCGGTTTCATTTTTATAAATAGAACATATTTACGAAACGGAACTTTTTCCTGATTCCGGCCTGAACCGGAACTTTATGAAATTTTGCTAGAAAATTTAAAAAAATTATATTTTAAGTATGTCGTGGACAACTCCACGTAAACATATAAAAATATATTATTAACTAAATTACATTCCCACGATCTTATCTTTTTCCTATTTCCTTTTAAATACACTTCAGTTTTATTATTCATTGCTCACTTCTCTTATTCACTTAGCTTTTCTTATTAAAAAATAAGATTTTTTTAAATAAATAAAATTTCTCCTGTTTTGTTGGAAAAATAAAATAAATAAAAAATATAAGTTTTTTATATTTTTAATTAAATTAATTTGTGGCGAGTTTTATACAACCGCTACAAAAGTGGTGCAACGGCTAAATTTTAATTAAACCCACTTTTAAAAACAAAAAAAAAAAAAAAAAAAAAAAAACCAAAACTTAACTAAATTTTCGCAAGCGCAAAAATAGCCAAACGCGAATAAATGAGCGGACCTATACGCCAAAGCTTAGGACCTGCAAAATCAACTCTCATTCGCGCAATCGCAGAAGCAAAAACGATATTGGATGAGAGGCCAAAGCAGAATGAGGAGATTGAGAACTGGACGCATTGGGTTCAAAAGCTAAAAAATGCTAATTCAAAGCTAGAGCGGACCCTTTCCAGAATATCAACCCTCACGGAAAATTGGACTAAAGTAATCGTCCAATCACAGCCAGAACAAGCAGAAAGAGAAAATTCACTCTATGAGGCTGTGGCAGGAGGAGAAGAAGGCCTTTTGGTAAAAATCGAAGAGGCGAACGAACTAGCGGTTGACCTTGGCACCTCCATAGAAATTGGAGAGAATGCTATAAGGCAAAAAGGACCGCGCCTCACTCTGACCGCGCCTCATCCATTCGCCAAGCGACGCCAAACAGACACTCACAAATACGCTTGCCCAAAAATTCATTACCTGAGTTTTATGGCGATCTAAACCTTTGGCCGTCATTTTGGGACAATTATCGCTCAGCCATACATGAAAACACGCTTTTAACCGATATAGATAGATTCAACTATTTAAACGGTTGCGTCAAAGGCGAAGCGAAAAAATTAATTCAAAATTATTTTATAACGGAGGCAAATTACCATATTGCTATAAATAAACTTCGCGAGCGATATGGGGATGAAGAGCGCATAAAAGCAAATTTGCGAGCAGAATTAAGAGCTCTACCTCCAGCCAATAAATACATAAATTCTATTCGATTTACAACTGACAACATCGACAGAATTATTCAACAACTACAACAAATGGGAGAAAATACAAACCAATCTTTCATCACATCAGTTATTGAAGAAAAATTACCAAAATGGATTCTTCTTGAACTAGAAAAAGCTAAACAAAAAGCTATGGCAAGATGTGAAGAAAGCGACGATGATGAACCTTTCATATGGGACACAGAAAAGGTACATAAAAAATTAGCAAAAATTATCGAACTGCACGAAAAAGTGAATAGAATGCCTCAATTAGAAAATAAATTTAAAAATGAAAAGAGGTTAAAACCGGAAAATAACTTTTCGGAAAACGCGCGAGTATTTTTTAACTCAAACGCGCAACAAACAAAACAGAATTTTGCATTCAAAAATAACTCACAAAAGAACAAACCGCGTGTGCGTATACAAAAAAAACAAGAGCGTAAAATATTACCATGCATTTTCTGCAATGATGAGTCACACAGAAGCACAGCGTGCCAAAAATACTCAACAGGAGAAGCACGCCAAAAAAGACTCGCACTTTTGAAAAAATGCTTTTGGTGTTTTAAAGACGCAAATCATAATGTTTGCCCCGCAAAATATAAATGTAAATTATGCAATGGGGACCATAAAGAAATTGTTTGCAAAAAATTCGCTATTGAAAAACAAGCGAGCGAAACAGTCCAACAGCACTCTCTTGCAACGCAATCAAAGGCGCTAAACGACATTCTTTTAATGACACGCCAAATATCGGTCTTAGCAGGAAATGGAAAGGTTGTAAGAGGCATTAAAGCATTCATCGACCCAGGTTCCTCTAGATCTTTTATTAAAAAAGAATTGGCGAGCAAACTAGCTATTGATTTAAAAGAAGCGCCTGAAATAACAATAAATGCACAGGGGATGTTTAATCACGCAACTTCATTTGCTAGTAAAAGCGTGCAATTAAAACTGGGACTTCGAAAAAATTGGCGGCAAAAATTAGAATTTAAAGAATTTCGATTTTGCACTGCCGAAAAAATCACCGGTAAAATAGCTACAGCAAAGCTAAGCGATCGCGAAATACATTTATTGCGAAAAAGGCCAAAGCATGAAAAAATAAACATTCCTACAGAAAACTACGAAGCAGAAATATTAATAGGAATGGACCATTTCTGGGAATTAGTCACCAACATAGAGCACTTACCCAGAGGGATATGCATAGTTGAAACGCTTTTAGGTCCTATAGTTTGCGGAAAAATAAACACAAAAAACGCAAACGCTATTAATTGCTACGGTAGCGAAAATGTTCTTACTTACGGACTTTTCGAAAATTTTACGGATCAACAAAAACTTTACGGCCGGCAGGGCATTGGCATCAAAGATTTGCCAATTAAAAATGAGGATGAAAGTGCGCGAAACTTATCCGATAAAAAGATTACTAAAAATGGAAATAGTTATTGCGTTCGCCGACCTCAACGCCCAAACGCTCCGCCATTACTTAAAAACAAAAATCTATGCCTAAGTCGCTCAAATTCTACATTGCGCAAATCAAAAAGCATAGACGATCCGTCAATTGTTCGCTCTCCTAAAAGATTAAAAAAGAAAATTTTAAAAAGAGCTCTAGCGAATTTAACTCCGTTTGAAATAGGAGAGAACGAAAAATCGATTCCGCAACAAAAGGAAACGAAAATAGAGCCAAAGAAAATCGAAGAGCGAACAAAAATTAAAAGGGATGCCAAAGAAAAAGCCAGGCAAAAAATCAACGCTAATGCTTACGGCTTAAAAGCAATACCTTTCTTAATACTATGCTTGCAATTAATCGCTTGTGCTATAGCAAAAAATTTGCGCACACCGCTTTTACCTTACGAATGTGAAGCGGAAGGGCAATTATTGCATACAGAAAGCAATTGCAACTCCAAGGGCATTTTAATTTATTCAAAAACTGGAAAAGACCCTCCCGAATTATGCTATAAAATAAAATCCTGCGGCGAAAAATTTCTGACACCAGTATCAGGGGGCTGGAGCTGTTTAGATAATTGCGGTAAATGTCCCAACTGGGCAGCAGGATGCTCGCACACAAACAATTACGTAATATACGAGCAAGCAAAATTAAATAGCATAGCGTCTCCAGAACAAATTGAATCAGACAACGATAATTCTATGCTTATTCCTACAATTGAATTATTTAATGGAAATATTCACCATGTCCAACAATTACAAATACGCACAATAGACGTATTTGATAAGGATGAAGTCTGCATTGGTAAGGGAGCAACCATTGGAACCCCCCATTACTGTTCCATACATGACTGTCTAACATCCGGAACACGCTTTTGCTATTACCCACACCGCGAAACCACGCTTTTTATCTCAAAGGACGCCGAAATTCCTATAAAAGCATGGGGGTATAAACGCATAAATATAAACGGAACTAATAAAAAAGCAATTAATGAATGCGTAAACTGCCAACTTAATTGCGAAATAAAAGGGATTAAGGCAATTTTTGAAGAAAATAAATTCTCAAAAATGGAAATTTGCTGCCAACCCTATTGTTTTAGTTTCGAGGGAGTAGAATCGCCTAAATTAGTCACTCTCCCTAAAGACATTTTATTAAACGAGCACACCTGCTCAATGCAGCTATGGACGACAAAAAGCAACCCAATAAATAAAATTGTTGTAAAATGTCCTAGCGTTAAAATTTGCGAATTAATAGATTGCTACATATGTACAGAATTATTAGCGAATCCGGAATGCTGGCCAATTTACGCAGCAATAATAGGAGGGATATTAATTGCAATAATATTTACTTGCTTATTCAAATTATGCCTTCTATTAAACAAAATATGCATTACAATTGCTGAATTGGCTTGGTGTATAAAAACAACACTGCGCATTTTCAAAATTCTTTTAAAATTAATCATTAAAATTCCTTATTTAATTATGAGGAAAATAATCGAGGCTAGATTTAAAAATAAAGATCAGCAGAAAAATAATGCTAAAAACGACATAGAACTAGCCGAAATTAAAATTGAACAAAAAAGGGAATTTAAGCCATTTATTCCTTTTAGAAAAAAATTCGGGGCCCGAGGAACAACTATAAATAAAATAGTTGTAATATTGGCTATAATACACGTAGCTAACGGCGCTTCCCAATTCGCTTCTTTTTCCGCAAACGAAGAAGATTGCACTAAACTGGAAAACAATCAAACCAAATGCCATGTTAGCCACGAAACCATTTTAACGCTAACCCCTAGTCATCGAATCGCGCAATTGCTAATCAGGGGATCAAATAAACTGCCAATGGGTATTGTCGATATAACAATAGAGGACATAGTAGTGGAGTGCCAAAAATCTTCAGAATATTTTTCGCGCAGCCACGAAATAAAAACCTACTCTAGCAAACGCTGCCCAAACCATTTAAATTCTAAATTATATTGCGCCACGCAAGGAGAGGCAGAGTCACTCAGCGGATGTCAACTAGACGCAGACGCATGTAAATGCTCAGTCACCGATCCTACAGTTACGTGCCAATGTAAAGATGGACGATTGGATAAAATATTTCTAGAAAATCCAGCTAAAGTCCTACCTATTATTTCTCAAAACTTTGTGCTCAAAAACGAGAAAAACCGCTTATACGCCTCGTTACCGCATGCTTCCATCGAATTGCAAGTATCCATGGAAAACTATCAGCTAATTACAACACATGATAGAGTAAAATGTGAAATAAGCCCAAGCGCATTAATTGGCTGTTACTCATGCATTGCGGGAGCAAGTTTTGATTTAAATTGCACTCCTAGTTTTGGAAACGGAGCGCTCGCACATGTGTATTGTGTCCAAAAAAGCGGCAAACATTTCGAATTTTCGCTTTTCTGCAATGGACCAAACAAAATACCCCTGGCTTTAGAAAATGCGGACATCTCGGCAAACTGCACTGTTAATTGTCCCGCCGGGGAAACACATTTCCAAATAAAGGGAAAATTAAAATACATAATACAACAAAATTGGCTAAGCTTGATTCACGCGCAAAGCACTCAAGCCCTCGCGGAAAATAGTATAGACTGGGCTTTTCTCGGCTGCTTCTTCATAGGCCTGCCTCAAAGTCTTTTTCTGCTTTTAGCCATATTTCTCGCGATTATTTTCATAATAATATTGTTTCGCGCAAACCCAATTCATAAAATTTGGAAATTAATCATTAGAATTATAATCATTTTTGTTATTATTACAAATTCTAATTCGATAAAATATTTGAACAACGAACAACTCTCAAATATTTCGCCGGTTTCGTCAACAAATAATTCAGAAAGCTCAACAACAATACTCGAAAACCTGGCAATACAATGCTGAAGAAGGTTAAGAAGGATTTGGGAAATAAAAGAAATGCCAGATTAATAAAAATTGTTTTTGATAAAAAATTAAATCTGGGCCCGGGAATGTCGTGGACAACTCCACGTAAACATATAAAAATATATTATTAACTAAATTACATTCCCACGATCTTATCTTTTTCCTATTTCCTTTTAAATACACTTCAGTTTTATTATTCATTGCTCACTTCTCTTATTCACTTAGCTTTTCTTATTAAAAAATAAGATTTTTTTAAATAAATAAAATTTCTCCTGTTTTGTTGGAAAAATAAAATAAATAAAAAATATAAGTTTTTTATATTTTTAATTAAATTAATTTGTGGCGAGTTTTATACAACCGCTACAAAGTAGTTTACCACCAATCCTTAGGGGTGTAAAAAAGTTCCGGTTTTCCCGAAACCGATTTATAAACCGGAGCCGGAACCAGATCCAATTTGAGTTCAAGTTCGGTCTAGTAATTTGTCCTATTTCGCGGTCTAAATTCAATTTGGCCGACTAACATATTAAGGAACGAAAAAGGAATGAAAAAACGATTCCGCCTTTATTTCAATATAGGGCCAAAAGAATTCTCATATTACTAACTGGGCAAAGAAATGCACTGGACGGAATATTGAGGGTTGATTTTCTCGACCGATTAAATTTATTAAAAAATATTTTTTTGAAAAACCAAAAATTATTAATATTTCAATAAACACAAAATATTAAATAAAATTAAAATTTAATTTCTGAACAAAATATATTTAATATCTTTATTCTACATAATTCAATATTCTTTTAAAAGAATAATTTATTATTTAAATAATAATTTTAAAAAAATTTTCTTTTATTCCATCTTTTTTTAAAAATTAATGATTC